GTGAAAGGACAACAAGCCTTTACTTTCTCTTGGAAACTCCGCCCTTGGAGCCTCCGCGACGATCGCTGTACTTGGGGAAGACGACCTTGGAAGTCTTCTTCCTTTGCTTCTGAATTCTTCCAGAGCGACGCTTGGGTTTCGCCGAGTCAACGTCCATGGCTGTGACGAGAGTCAGTCTTTGTGACGGGAATTATCGAGTGAGCTCAGCTTACAGGTGTCATCCGCCTTGGCCTCCTTCTTCTCATCGTCACCGTTGATTTCCACTTTTGGAATGTCAGTTTCGAAACTTTTTGCCTCATGGAACTGCCTTGGAAAATGGCTGGGAACTCACCATCGTCATCATCCTCAATATCCATCTTGGTGTCTGCCTCCCTCTCAGGCTTGGGGGCCTTTGCCAATTCTAGCAGCTTCGCCGAGAGACGCTCGGCTCTGGCCTGCTCAACGGGACCAAAGACATTTGCCTTGAGTCTCTGGTTGTTCTTCTTGATAACGCTGGCTCTCGCGCTTTTGGCCATTGCTGCGGATATGTACCGGGCGGTGTGGTGTTTATGAAGGATTTGAGGAGACGTCTCGCTGTGTTTATACAGGCAAGAAGTTAACAGCAGGCTGAGTGAGGAACAACCTTGATATGTCTCGGATTACTGAGAAATGTCGAGTATTCAAGTCGGTGAGAGTGACCATGTGAAAGTAAACGGTCTTCACTGAGTGATGATAGGAAATTTTACACAGGTGGTTGCAGCCGTGCCCCGCCTGCCAATCCAGTCGTCCAGTCAGGAAGGGTATGTAGGCCGCAGCGTTTTGGACGGCAGCAAAACCATCCTGGCGTCTCACTCACATGGGCTAGACCACCTTCACCTCAGTCAATCGGCCGTCGCAGGGGCTGCCGGCTATTGACACCCCCACATTCTTCCAAACACCTGGAAGGCGCCTCTGGCTGGCGGTGGTTTCCAGAACGGGACGGGCAATGACCCAGGAATTTTGCTTTCTCAAATGCGTTGTCTGCTTCTTAGGGGACACAGATGCTGAAACAACGGCGGACCGCCCACTAGAGAGTCATCGGTTCAGGCTTTCACCTGCCCGACGGGGACGTTCAACTTCCTACTCTCCCCTAAGAAAGACCACACAGAGCCGCCATGTCCTGCCTACACACTTCCCGGCCAGTGTCCACACCATCATCGAGTCTCACTAATTGTGAATCTCACCTCAGCACTTCCCTTGGATAACTCACCTTCACGCTTCACTTGCTTTAATTCAGGCCCACATCCAGAATACGGCTTGATTGCTGCTGTAGTCGCAAGGTATTCAGCTGTGGTGGGCTCCTACCCGTTCAGTAACACCCTTCTTCACAGAGCCCCCAAAGGCCGATAGTCGCGGATGACATCAAACCTTTGCTGACTCAAGAAATGGCCCCTGGCCTAGTTTGACCTCACTTCATCCGTACGCTGGACTAATGCCGTTGCTCTTACCTTGGGCGTCGATATCATATTCATATTACTGCTCGATGCAATAGAGTTCGTATCGGTGGGTAAGCGCACAAACAATTTCGCACACATCAGGGTCGTTACCTGCTATCGTTGTCGCATTTGGGAACATTGGTATATCCCCCTGCCCGTCTCCATTATCGCAAAGCCGCGAGTGAAGAAGGGAAAAAAAAAGACGGGAAGGGCAGCGCAGCAGCAGAGCCGCCACCACCACCACCAACCCACCGAGCAGTACGGGACGGGAGCTACCTACCCTGCCCTTGCCTTCCTCGACCGACCCGACTGCAACTTCCCCACGCACTTTTGGCTCTTGCCTGTCGGCGCGCACCACGAGCCTCGTCGCTCCTGCCTCGTGTGGTCGCGCCCATGACTGTTATTTTCACTTGAGGCCCGTCGTTCTCCTTCTCTTCTTTGCTTTCCACCCATTCCTCGGCCGACGACTTTGACGCAGACAAGTATCCGCCACCTACCTCCACGGCCTGTCGACGGCGCCTCTAGGTACCAACGACCGAAGTCGATCCGACGTCGCACCTGCGAACCTTCATGAGGCCGTCACCGAAGACACCACCACAACCCTTTCACCTCGCCCGAGAACCATGACCTCCATACAGAGGCATGAGCTCCAGGCTCTGGTCAAGCTGGTGAACAGCAACCAGCTTCTGAACCGCCAATTATCCCAAATTTGTCAGCTCAACGGGCTCACTAGCAGCGGCGTTAAGGCGGCTCTGCAAAGTCGCATCGTCAGTGGTGAGTACTTTTCCTCCTTGAGCCCTTTCGGCCGCCTGAGATACCTCCTTTTGCGCCCCTTCTCTGGCTCCAGCTGTTTCACGGGCGCTGTCGTGTCTGAGCATTGCTCCAGGCAGCGAAGTTTGCTTCTCAGAACGACCTAAGGCTAACATCTTTTGCCCGTCAGCTATCGAAGAAGCCTTCAAGAACAGCGACGCGACTCGCTTCCAGCAAATCCAACGAAGCATCGAGACCACAAGGACCGGCTCCTCCGCTTCGCCCGCCTCTCAAAAGAGTGGACGTCCCGCCACAGCGACTCCGCCTGTGTCAATGATGCGGCAAGACCAATACTGGGGGCGCAATGCCCGCCCCAGCGGTGCGAATGGCCCTGCTCTGCCCGGGTATGGATCAAGCGGTACGTCATTCCCTCAAAAGTCCTTTGAACAAACGCCTAACTTTGATGCAGGGCTCTCTTTCAAGAACAGTCCCTTCTACGAGATCCAGTTCCGGGTCGGCGATGTGCGCTCGTGCGAGGGTAGGTCGCCATTTCATGTTTCATCTTGGTCGTTGCTAATTTCCCAATCAGCTATGAGCCAGCATAGGAACATGGTCTCGATTCCAGTCAAAGTCAGCGATAATCTCAATCTGAACAGAGTTCTCGATGACAAGTCACTACGCATCATGGTCTTCTGCGCCGGAGATAGCAATGGCGTCCAGGATATCGCGTTTCCCCATCAGTCGGAGATCAAGGTCAACGGTAACGAGGTCAAGGCGAATCTCAGAGGCTTGAAGAACAAGCCAGGCTCGACAAGGCCAGTCGACATTACGAGTTACTTGCGTCTGAAAAATGACAACAGAAATCTCGTTGAGTTCACCTATGCGTTGACTCAAAAGGTGGGTTGCCTCAGATTTACGAATTTCAATACCCTGCTCCGTCCTTTACCGCTGACACTTAATCTGTTTGCAGAAATTCTATCTTGTCCTGAACGTCTGCCGTATCACCTCGGCGCAGGACCTGGCCGACAACATCAAGAAGGGGCAGAAGATCCCCAAAAACAAGGTGATTGAGGAGAGTACGTTTTGCCGATTTACTCCAATATTATCAACAAGAGACTAAAACCCTCCAGTCAGCAAGAAAGCGGCGGATACAGATATCGTCACGACATCTCAAGTCCTGTCTCTTAAGTGTCCTCTATCCTACATGCGTCTTGATGTCCCGTGTCGCTCTGTCAACTGTTCGCACATCCAATGTTTCGACGCAACGTCGTACCTCCAATTGCAAGAGCAGGGCCCTCAGTGGCTTTGCCCGATTTGCAATAAACCGGCGCCATACGCACAGCTGGCCGTTGACGAGTAAGCCCCATGTATCGCCCCCACGATTTCTAGCTAACATCCGTCGAAGGTACGTAAGAGACATCCTAGCGAACACATCAAAGTCCCTAGATCAAGTCACCATTGAACCAGACGGACAGTGGCGAGTGAACACAGGACAGGCCGAGAACAGGCCGACCAATGGTGGAAGCGGCCTTGTTGACGAAGACGATGATGACGACGACGACGACTGGGGTATCGTGGAGGTCAACCCAGTTCGCAGTCGAAACTTCGAAACTCCCAACCGGTCAGTCGCCAGCACGGCAACTCCGACAACAACGGTGATGTCTCGAGAAAGCTCGACGATGCCGCGGGGCGTGGCCACAACAAGCGCCAAGAGACTGCATTCGGATAGGGTGACAATAGACCTGACCCTATCAGACGATGATGAGCCAGCCGCACCGCCTCCGAAGCGGCAGCAACTACAGGGGCCGGGATCGAGTAACTACAACAGCAATGGTTACAGTAGCAGCATGTTTTGAGGAGGCCACCCTGGCAATCTCTATCAACGAGCTGTGAGATATGGAGCATGAGGTTAGCCGCCTCAATCAGCACGTACATACTTCCCTACCTAATGAAGGCGGATTTGTGGCTCATGTATGTGTTTTTTTCTTTGGGCGTGGAAAGGGACGGATGGATAGCTGTCCAGGCGTTTAGGAGGCAAAACATATTCCAACAGCCCCAACAGCCTTATGCCATAGGCATGAATCAGGGCGATAGCAGGCGTCTGAGCAAAGCTCTACTTAGATGTGAGGTAGATGCCTCAGAAACTTTGCCAGCTTGGTACCTTAGGAAAGCGAGGGATACAAATACCAAACACTACGCTACGGATATCACATCCGTATAATGAGATGAAATCACTCTGAGGACTCTCCTCTTCGTCTACGTCCATCATTACCCGTCCGTGATCGTGTGCCAACATAACGTGCAAGTTGTCTACTGTAATCCCTGTCGAATCGGAATTGGAGCTCTGGTGGGTGGACCCTGAAGAGCTTAGAGGCCAGCTCCACGGCGTTCCATGTCAAATCAGGTACGTACCCGACCTCGCTCTTTCAGGTACCTACCTACCTAGGTAGCGGCTTCAATCGTTCATCCGCCTCCAGCTACCTGCTACCTACCTTGAACCGCACATTGGCCTCGACGAAACAGTGTCCAAAACTACTCCTGCGATTTCCTTCAAGCGCCATTGCATCAACGTCATCTCTGATTCCACGCCGAACTGACTCTTACGAATTTCGCTGCCTAGTCTCCATTGCCTTGGATCAACACCAAGCTTTCATCGCAATCGAGCCCCACACAGACAAACGAACCATACTCGAGAGAGCCAATAACCGCGCGAAACCCTCCTCGACGAAGCCAGGAACTATAGCGACTATTCTTCCACGCCCATACCATAATTAGCTTCCCAGCCAGCAAGAAGCCATGTCCTTCGAAAGCGTCATGCCGCCGTACAACGCCACGGACCCGTCGGCCTCCTTCCTTAACTCCTCCTGTCTCGACTTCCTCCTCATCGAGCTCGTGCCCATGGCCTTTCGCGTGACGAGAGACCTCGAAGCCGCGCCGACTGATGCGAATAGTGCCGGTGGGGGCGCTGCCGCTGCAGGAGGAGGTGCTTCAGCTGACGCGCTGTCGACGGTGAGCCACAGTCAGGGCGGGGGGGCCGACGGAGGTGCTGCGCCGTCGAGCGCGGACGGGGCTGCGGGCGGGAGCACAGTCAGGAAGCTGGACGAGGACGAGGAGCGGGATGCGGTGTTTTATCGGCTTGAGACGCTGGGATATCGTGTTGGGCAGGGGCTTGTTGAGAGGTACGTTTCCTCTTGTGCCTCCCTCCTCTTCCTCTGTGCGCCGCCTTTGGCGATAGCAAGGGGGGACGAAGACACAGTGTTGGGATTTTACAACGATTGGAAGCTGACGGTCTATGAACTTGGTGTTCAGATTCTCGAGAGACCGGCCACGATTCAACGATACGCTCGACGTCATCAAGTTTGTCTGCAAGGATCTTTGGTCGCTTGTGTTTAGAAAACAGATTGACAACCTCAAGACAAATCACAGGGTACGTCAGCGATATCCCCTCTACCTATCGGAAGGCCTGGTCAAGGGCGACGCTCCAGACAAGCGACTTGGGAATTGGGTGGCTGATCTAGTCCGTTGGAATAGGGCGTTTACGTACTGACAGACAACTCGTTCAAACCTTTCTCGAGAATGAGTACAGAAGCTGGCGGACAGGCGGTTGTTCGGGCACAGCCAGTACGTCTAAACCCACGCCGATCTATCAATATGACGACCTACAGGGTGCTGACTTGTCTGGCTACAGTTCCTCTGGTTCCCGTGCGGGATTGTGCGCGGAGCGCTAGCGGCGTTAGGTATCAACGCAACCGTCCAAGCCGAGACCAACGAGCTACCGGCAGCTATTTTCCAAATCAAGACCCTGCCGTCAAGCACATAATACCCAACTTCACGTATCAAGAAGCCCCTGTCCCAAACAAATGGCGCGTGGGGAAACCATAGAGAAGTGTCAATGACACAGCATGCAAGCGTTGAAAGAGTTTAGACTTTTTGCAGAGTATCGACCAAAGATCTGGTCATTCGAGTTGATGCCCAAGGTGTCTTACTCCAATTATAAACCAGCAGCAATTATCGCCATATCCAAAACTACCGACGCCGTTGCCCTACGTACGCGGACTCAAGAGAATCCCAGCTGGTGTTATATACGCTGGTCAACCATACACTTGCGAGACCAATAACACCTCACAGCCTAGGAAAAAGAAGAGTCGATCAGCCATAATTCTCCCTCGATTATATTTCATCTATCACCATTTTTTGGCTACATTGTTGGAAGCTGTTGTCATGCGGCTTCCTCGAGAGGGGGTCGGGGGCTGTTACTGGAAACAAGTGTACAAAGGGAGGAATCACTTTTGGGGAGCCTTGTGGGCGAACTCGACACCCTTCTGAATGTTGCCCTTCAATCCTGCAACCGCAGCCTCCAGAAGCTTCTGCTCCTTCTCTGTGATGTCGCCAAGAATGTCGATGGCCTTCTCAGCACCGTTGGGCTACGAATATGTCAGTGTTGGATCCGTTTAGATTTGGACAGGGGACAGGATGGAATGCTGTGCAACTTACGCCAAGCTCGATGGGAACGGAGAAGAAGTCGACGCCGGTCTTCTTGGCAATCTCCTCGCCGCCGGGAACGCCGGGGAGGTAGACGTAGCTAGGCTCAACAAGACCCTTCTCGCCCTTAAGGGCCTTGAGGACCTTCTCGGCGAATCTATCACACGTCAGTCCCTGACCTTAAGTTGTCGAGCGTCCGATTTCTTACCTGTAGCCAGCGTAGGCCATGGAGAGAGTGGCAGAACCAGCGCCGTCCTTGGCCTTGACAACCTCGTCACCACCGAACTGGACACGGTTGACGAGAGCATCGTACTTGTCGTCGGCGATGGACACTGAAGGCTTGACCTTGCTGAAGAGGGGAACAATGGTCTCGCCGGAGTGACCGCCAATAACGGGAACATTGAGCTCGCTAGTGGACTTGCCGGAGATCTCGGCAACGAAGGTCTCGGCTCTGACAATGTCGAGAGTTGTGACACCGAACAGACGCTGAGGGTTGAAGACGCCCTTGGCCTTCAGAACCTCGGCGGAAATAGGGACGGTGGAGTTGACAGGGTTGGAGATGACAAGGATGAAGGCCTTGGGGGCGACCTCGGCCGCAACCTCGATGAGGCCCTTGACGATACCGGCATTGATGTTGAAGAGATCGTCGCGGGTCATGCCAGGCTTGCCTAGAGTGGATTTGCCGTTAGAAAGAAGCAGCGGACGAGGCTCCGCAAGTGTAACTCACGAGGAATACCAGCGGGAATGACGATGATATCGGCATCCTTGAAGGCGGCCTTGGCGCCATCATCCTTGGGCAGGTAGCCAGCGATTTTCTGTTTGCGGCACCTCTGTTTAGCAAGCTATCGGTACTACGGGTGCCACGAGACAATTGAGACTGCGATGAAACGTACCGCATTGGAAGAGATGTGGGAGAGATCGGTGGCGACGCCTGGGGTGTTGACGACATCGTACAAGGCAAGCTCATCGACGAGGGGAGAGAGCTTGAGGAGGAGGGACAGAGGCTAGAGTAGACAGGTTGGTGGTGAGCAATGCGAACGTTATTTGCTGACCACGCGGGGTTCCGGATTCGCTGTACCTGTCCAATACCGCCAGAGGCGCCAGCAACAACTAAGAAATGATTAGATTGACGAGGCTTTGCGCGATAGTCTCAGGTGGTGGGAACATACCGGCCTTGACCATTTTGATTGTGATTCTTGTTATTCGGTTTGAGAAAGGAGATGGATGAAGGAGGAGGGTGGCCTGAAGGGTTCTCGCGGATTAGCGGGGTGATCTTGGAGCTTTGCTCGCTTAACATGTCGAGCTCTGGCGCATGGTACGAGACCAAGTGTGGGGAGCTCTCGCTACAATTATCCAAGCTTGTCAAGTACTAAGGTGAGGGGGGGAGAGAGGTCATCGTCAAACGTACAGTAGTCACGTAAACTGAAGGTTTTGCTGGTAAGATGGAAGATGTATGAGGATGAATCTCACAAGAGCGGGAGATCGTTTGCTTTAGTATGAAAAGGGAGAGCAAGAGAGGAGAAGTAAACCGAGCCAAGGTTACGTAGAAGTAGTCTGAGCCAGCTGATACCTAGTCCGGAGGCTGTCGGCGGGGACGTAGGTTCAACCGCGGGGAGAATTGCGACCTTTGGTTTCCCACCCCTCGTTCCGTGGGACTTTGCCTGTGTCATTGGATGGAGGGGTCAAAAAGAGGGGCAACTTGGAGGGGTGAGAAGGGGACCATGGGGGGGCCGCTCCTGAGGCAGGGCAGGCACGGGGGGTTCAAGTTTCCATTGTAGCTATTGCACGCTCCTCCATCGCTCCTCGAGGTGAGGTGGTAGCGGCGGCAGGCGCCAGTAATGCGCAGAAAAGCGACTCGACAGTAGCACTGCGCGTGTAGTTACCTTACGGCATTGTACCTCATGTACTGCGCCGCTGCACCCAGCAAGCCCGATCCCGTAGCTTATACTTGCGCGGTTGCGGTGCTTTATTAGCCGGACCAGTTGCTGCGTTGCTTGCTCGCTGGCCCTGCTGATGCTGCTGCTGCCGCTGTCTCGGGCTGCAGAGTGGACAAAGAGAGGAGCGAGTGCAAGGTAAGGTACCTTCCGGCTTGCCGCACCAGGGAATAGCTGTCGCAGATACCTCTTCATTCGACCCAAACAAAGGCGGCCACTGAGACACGCCCAGCCCATGGAAGCAGTCGCTGAAGGAAAGATAAAGATACATTCTACAGGTACCTACCTTAGGTGCTCTGGATGTTTCCCGCCCACTGCCCAGTGCTTGCTCAATACCTAGCATCGATTGCGCCAATCCCCTGCCACCAACGTCCTGCAACCAATTGCAACATCCGTCGTCAACCCGTTTTGTTCGCCATTCACCTCCGGTCTGATGCATGTGAGAGACGGACGAGGCTAACACGGTAATTCGAGGCTCGATTCCCCCCGTCAACTCCCGGCCAGCTGGACCAATGCCTTCCGATGTTTTCCTGCTGATGAACGGTCCCCCGTCCTCGTCCCGATGTCCCGATGTCCCGAGCTCCAGGGGTAGCTCGTTCCTATGTATAGCCAAAACTCGGGTGTGGGAACGGTAGAAACAACCTAACGCAAAGACGGGCCCCATTATTCCTATGGGAAGCCTGTGACATGCTTCAGATCGTGATAGCTATCATTATCCTCGGCGATGAGACAGCTGGGCAAAACATAACCTACGGGCCCTGCCTGTGGTGTTTGGGCGGGCGAATAGCTCACTAAAAATACATATTCACTCATCGTTGCTTCTACGAGGTTAAGATCTTGCTCATGGAACATGTAAGAATTACCTACACTGCGGCACGAATTACTCACAATATCAAGAGTACGTACCGTTGTGTTAGAAATGCCATGTTAGGAGCACCTATGCAACCCCGGCTGGCAAAATTACCCCGCCATGTATGCGCAGGTGCCATTCCACGTATCTCGATCAGGCCAATGTCGGCGAAGACTTACTCCGTGCAAGACGTAGAAGCGTCCCTGTCTTTCATCATTCATCAACACTCCAACAACAAACTGCAATCAATATACCGCTCCACTACACAATACTTTTGGGGGGCAACGTAGGAAGATGGTATGGCTCAAGCCGGAATGACACCCTCGACATTCCGATGCTTGCCCGTGGTCCCGAGGTTCAGCAGGAATTCGCTCTCTACTCTAGTCGGGCAACTCCGGGTAAGGGCCGAGGACCACGGCATCGACAACACCATGACCCGTAGTCCGGCTACTGTGCTATCTCGATGTCGGTCTCTTCGATCACCCTCACTCCACTCCCACTCCGAGCTTTCCCTTTCTGTGCAGGCGCGCGTCATGGCATAAGATAAGGTATACTTCAACATGCATCATCATCATCGCCCTCCCAAGTCGTTGGCCCAGAGCCTCACAAATCCCTCACACGCATGGCATCAAATGCGAAGGGGGGAAGCAGCAGCACTCGTTTGGAGCAAACGAAAAACCAGTCCCAGTCATTATTTTGTGGCCTTTGACTCAAGCTTTTGATTTGTTTCGCCTGTGTCCCTCAAAAAGGTATTCTCTATTTGCTCGACGTAACGCCCAAACCAAGCCTGTTTCTTTCTCTTTTTTCGTCCCGCTAAATCAGCATCTCAACATTTATGCCTCAGCCTCGGCAGCGGCGGCGGCCTTGGCCTTGACACCGCGGGGCTTCTTCTCGGGGGTGGCCTTGACGGCGCGCTGAGAGCGGCGGATGGCAGAGACGCGCTGGACAGCGGCCTCGCGGAGGTCGCCACGGTAGCCGCCGGCGGCAGCCTGGCGGGCAACGGCGGAGTAGGTCCTATGGTTCGACAGCCGTCAGTCATCTGTTTGTTCTCCTGAATCCTCGTGCTTGCCCCGTTCCATGTGCCGCATTACGACAACAAGTTTGTGGTTGTAGCGGTGGTCCAAAACTCACTTGCGGGAAGACTTGTTGCCGCCGTAGGTGACCTCGGTGTAGCCCTTGGAGGGCTTGTTGAAGTTCTTCTGGTTCTTGCTGATCACCTTGACACCACCCTTCTCGTTGGGGACAACGCCGATGGCCTAATCGTCACATGTCAGTCATCTCTGTGCTACGTGGTGTTGCGAAGGATCGAATCGTTCGAGCGAGGGAGGAATATCGAGTTCGATCGGCCTGGGGTGTAATCGTACCTTGTCGTTGACGAAACCGGCGTACTGCGATACAAGTTAGCCAAAGATGCCCTTCAACCCCGCCAGTATTCTGACGATTCGATCCCAACATACCTTGCGGGAGTGCTTGTTGACCAGGTTAAGGGGGTCGCGGGAGAGCTGGAGACCGCCGGCGTCGTTGCGGTTGACCAGGAACGCATTCTGGGCGCCTGTATCGAGAAAACAAGCAGGTGTGAGCAAAATTGCGCATTCAGATCGAGTTCGGCATCGCTGGCAGCCGGGCGCCGCGGTGAAACTTACGGACGACCTCCCAGATCAGGTCGGCGGAAACGTTGGGCAGAGTGGCGGCCATTTTGACTGATTTGAGGGATCACGGAATGGTTGATGAATACCTTCACGATTGCTCTGATGCCGGTCTGCGTGTTCGTAGAATTCAATGGCCTGAATTGAATGTGTGGGCTATCGCTTAGCAGTCGCTTTGCAGACTAGCGTCTCTTGGGTCCACTCATTTCATCGGCGACGCCACACCGAGTCCCCTCCGGGGCACAAAAGCCCTCCCCGGCGGGCCAGTCTGGATGTGGCTGGTGATGGCGGTGCACTTGCATCCTGAACCGGCTCGAAGTACAACCTCGTCCTCGTCATATAAGTCGACCGCAATTGCGATTACGTATTTCCAACTACACGAACTCAATGATCAAATGTACTAGTACGCGGTAGGCTCAAGCTCTTTTTTAGTCGGTTCAGGATTCAGAAAGTCGAGTATTGCGTCTCTTCCAACATATGTGGCTAAGCTCAAAAACTTGACAGTTGCAAGCTAATATCAAGACAATATATCATAAAGCGCGGTCCTTGGATAAGGCCTGTAATGTTTGGCCTTCTTTTCTATACTATTTCTAGTATGTCCTGATTTCCTAATTGATAGCATGTTTGAATTACGGCCTAGATCGGTCAATTCAACGGGCGAAATATTCATGGTATTAATCCGAGGCACAAAGGTGAACCGCACATCTAGTAACGACACACTCCATGGTGTTGAAGTGCCTAAAGTTTAGGCATATCTCCGGAGAATCTTCGCTGACTATCAATGCTTTAGTACTGAGTGTAGCTAATGGTTACCGTTCAAGTGATTCATACAAATCCATCATTCGGCTCGATGTCATGCCATCGGGTCCAGCCTACATATCCGGTAGGCACATCCCAACGCCAGGCCATAGCATCTTATCCTCTCATGAAAAAAACTCATTGGTCTTGTATGGGCGCATTTATCCAGTCTCTTGTGTAGTACTTCATTACAACGGGTATAGTACGTTGACAAAGAGGCCAACTTTGCCAATCCTAAGGTATTTAAGGCACTGCATATCCATTGTCGATCCTCCACTGCAAGGCAGTCGAATTCGTCTGTGAGAGGCACTGCCAAGGTAGGCACTCTAGCTCACTTCACCATCTGGCTCGACAGAATGATTCGTCTTTGTATACGTGCACAATGCCAAGCAGGTAAAAGTCGCTGGTCTGTGGCTCTCACGTGGATCGCCGTCTTCTTTCAGAACTTATTCCATATTGTTACATCACCTCATCATGTTAGTCGACGATATTCTCGTTCGTGAGCCATCCAGAAGGATAACGGTGACAAAGCGGGTTGCCTCTTGGGCACCTTTAAGGGGCTTTTCACTCTAAATACACAGTATCGCTCTGCTGCGGGGCTATGAAGTTATATTATTCACACCATTGATTTCCCATCTAGAGGCAAGGTCTATCCATATGGGAAATGATCTTATGGCAACACCTCTCGTCTGCGGATATGTAATCGTCATGTTATCCCAGCAAGCTACCATTTCGACATAATATCGGTTCCACATCGTGACCATGACATGTATAGTCCAACTGCTGATTACACCTATATGTTCGAAACCCGCCGTCTATCTCTAGAACTCGAATTATTTCACAGGCAGTATGTCAGAATAGCTCTGTTGCTTTTGGGAGCCCCCCCCCCCCCCCACCCACCATTCAGGTTGAGACAAGCGATGGAATACTGTGTGATATAGATACAGCTACTCTATCATTGGACATTTAGGCAACACTGTCTACAAAAAAAAGTATGGACATTTACTATGTAGGCGCCGAAGCTGAGGTACATTCGCTCTTCAAGAGCAAACCTTCATCGGAGGCTGCCACCTTTCTCAGGCCGGACGAAGGTATCCAAGTTGCGAGCGCCGGTGAGCCCCAGCTACCGGGATAATCAAGTTTCCAGGGGCCGAGCTCTGGGGTACCTCTTGGGACTCTCTTATGCAGAAGCCTTAGTTACGCGTGTCATGGAAATTGCCTTTCACCTCCTGGTTGCGTGGCCTCAACCACGAAGAGTGGTATTAAGAGCATGTCCACAGATAAGGTAGTTGAAGTAACTCATGTAGAGTCTTCACCGACCTCGACATAGTCACATACAATGAAGACCAGGAACGCAATGTAAGGACTGAGTCGGCCCTGAGATCATTTACTGGTCTCCAGCTTTGTTCGTCGTGGAAGGTACGGATACATGGCAGCTTCAGCACGTCCCGTGGCCCAGCTGGCGGGGGCGGAAGTATTCACGTGATGCAAATGGAAGCTTGCCCGTCGGCATCCGTAACGGTCTCCCTGGCGGCCCAGGCCCCTGCCACGGTACCCTGCGCCCAAGCCTTACAAGTTACGTACGTAGGTAGTACGCCTTCGAATGCTCCATGCCCGACCTTAGTAAGTGGATCCCCATGGAAGTCCAAAAGCTGCAGGATCAGACGGGATTACGGGGGGCAGTGACAGCCCGAGTCCACCTTCAGCGACGCTGAGTCCCTGAGGGCTCTCTCCCATTTCCGAAAGAGGCCAACTGGGGAGCCTGGGTAGTATTAGTGTCCAGCGCACTTACGCAGCCCGCACCACTGCACCTCCACATCATCGGTACGCCTGGCTCGTCGCCGAACTTCACCACTTACACTTCCATTCCACATAACCTCACTCTGCCCTGGAGTCAAACGCGACCGTCTGTCTCCCTGCAGGTGCCGACATGATCCTTTGATCCTTTCGAACGGCAGTCTCTGACTGTTTGCGCCAAAACACCATTCTCTTTGTGACTTCTTTTTTCCCACACTATTCATTTCCCTTGCCTCCCGTTCTGTTCATTCTAAACCACGACGATCACCACCACTACTAGCTTTTCGGAGCCTAGCCACCTAAGCAGCCGGCGATTGCGAAGCAACCACACCAGCGTATCGGCGACCAGCCCAACGTCATTCCACCTCGACCGCGCCCTCGAAAGCGAAAGTCGTCCAAAATGTCGTACCTCCTCTACTCCGTCTCGTTCCTCCTCCTCATCACCGCAACGGCCCTCTACTTCACCCGCGGCCACTGGCTCCACCTCGTTCCCGACCTCCCGATCCCTGGCCGTGACTACATCTACTCCCGTCTGCCCTCCTCCTTCGTCGGCGACATCGACGCCGGCCTCTCGAGCTCGACCTTTGACTTGGCGGGCAACGTTGAATCAGGCGATAGCCGCGCAGGGCTCGACGATCGCAGCAAGAAGGAGATTCTCAAGATCATGAAAAAGCGCCGCATGAAGTTTGACGACGCGCGCAGGGTGTACATGGAGCAGCGCTTCAAGGCCAACGGTATCGGACCGGATGGGAGGCCTTTGGATCCCAAGGCTGTCACGTTCAGCTAGGCGAGGCATGCACGAGCTACCGAGAGAGAGAGAGAGAGAGAGAGAGAGAGAGAGAGGCGACCAGGGGATACCCGATACAGACCGGGTAGGCGAAAAACGTCGTTTGTAGCATATGTTTGCACTACGATACGAATTACCGACGACTACACCATTATATGTCATTCGAGAGGAGGGAAATGACCATAAAGGATCATTTCTGATCACTTTGCACCGGAGCATAACTCAATATTCCCGAGCTTTCGCCTCCAACAACCACAAATCCTTCTAACGCGCCCAAACAGGCCACCGACTACTTTTCCTTGCTTATCAACTCTTCGACATTCCACTACTTCCTAGGGCAAACAGGCGTTGCAGCGAGCTTTTCTTACGCTTCTCTTTCTTTTTCTATGTTGTTTGTTCTTGGGTTTCCCGGTGGTGGACGTTTCTAAGGGTCTGGCTGACAAAGCCTTCTTTGCGCCGGTATGGATCGGCGTCTTCTTTTGGTATTATCTGTCAATGTAGAGCTTGCGTGACACAGCTTCAACGGATTTTCACTCTTGTTACCTTCACGTATTCATCCTCTTTTTTACTATGTGACCCAACTTTTCACCCTGTCCATCCTACGAGACTGCACGGGCTTCCGGTAGTCCGGTAGATGTGACACTTGAGTCCTTCTTCTCCTCGACATTTGCCAGTGTGTTCTTCAAACCTCATGTCATTCTGGAGTTGGCATTCTGGAACCTCTAGAGGGTCCAGTTGCGCTACTAGCTATTATACCCTGGGTCCATCCACACCTGCAGACCGTCAGATGGCTTCGCTCCCATTATATCACCATCATCCGTCCGTATCGCGCCCGGCATTCTATTTAGCCGATTCATATATATATACACAAGCAAAGGTATGGCAAGAGCCAAAGTATTACAAATATCTAGAAAGTGATTTCTTCAGCTGTTCACTTGCGGCTGGCTTCATGCGCTGAGCGCGTCCAGCACACTTTAGACTGGCTCTCATTTCGTCTTCTTCGCCTCGGCGGCAACGTACTGGCGGTCGTCGTCGCCCTCGACCTCCTTTTGGATGTCTTCCATCTCCTTCATGTTGGACTCCCACGTCTCCTTGGCCATCTTGGTCTTCTTGTTGAACCAGGCTAGGTCGGGCTTGCGGTAGGTGCCACCGAGACGGTCCCAGAGGGTAGTGAACTGGCCGTAGTTGTAGCTGCCAAGTCTGTTAGAAAGTGCGAAGCTCTCGGCTCTCTCACGTTGTCAGAAACTTACTTGAAGTACAAGTGGTGGGCGGTGTGGCACGCTGAGCCGTTGATGATGGGGTTGTCGGTAATGTACTCGCCGTCGTGGATGAGAATGGTCCAAAAGTTGATAAACACAAACAGTGCGACGTATGCCAGCTTGTTGAGAGGGAACAGCATCGGGTAGACGTGGTACGGGACCGACTGCGCGAAGCCGTCGAGGGGGTGGAAGGCGTGGCTGGCGTAGGGCGAGGGCATGATCCACTTGTGGTGAGGCTTGTGAAGGTGCTTGTAGACGAGTGGGAGATGTAGCCATCGATGAGCCCAGTATATGCACAGGTCGGTGAAGAGAATGAAGAGCGGGAACTGCGCATAGTCGTACCAACGGCCGGGGCCCTCCTCTGTGGTATCGTAGAGCTTGCAGTAGCCGCGCACTTCGGCGACAAAGGTGAGCGCGGTGCAGATTGCCATGACCGGCATGGCCATGTTGGCCTGTTTCATCTCGAGGCGGATCTGATTCTTGAGGAACTTTGGGTGGCTGAACGTCTTCTTGTCAAAGATGAAGATGTACGATAGAGTCGCGAAGACAAAGTAGTTGAGGATGCCGAAGAACCTGGTATCGTTCGCGGTATTGTGAGCTCGGTCGGGAACACGGCGAGGGTGGCGGAGCTGTAGCAACAACGTACCATGTGACAAGGAAAAGAGATGTGAACTGTCGGAAGATATTATCTCTTGGCCAGGCGCTCATATATGCGGCCTCGGAAGGCTCGAGGTAGAGCATTTGTGTCGAGGGCTTATACTGCCATGTCGAGATCGGTTGCGCCGTGGCGTTCGCGTGGTGAGGGAAGTCATAAGGAGCTGAACCGGCTGGGAGCAATTTGGCGTAGAGCTGGTCGCCAACAAAGGTGTCAACCACCTCGAGCACGACATCCATGATGTGTCGAATCGAAGAGCAATCGGTGGATGGCCACTAGGGTTACTGCGGCAATATCTAAAGTCACGATCGCAGTTGAGGAGGGAAGGACCGGTAGTCACGTATGCGCAACGGACCAGCACGAATCCGGGTTATAAGTCCTAGACGAATCGAGGTCGCAAAGTTGCCGAGGGTCGCGGCCGGGATAACTCGGTGGGGTCTGAGATCATCGAATGTTTAATAGAAATCCTGGGGCCATAAGAAGGTGGGCAGATGCGCCTTACCTCCGGTTTAATGGGCCTGGCTTCCGAGCGACGGGGACACAGCCAGGGGCGGGATCGGCAGCGACTGCTTTCAGTTCGGTAAGAGCTTCCACTAGAGGACTTGGGCAAGGATATTGCTGTGAAGTTTGTAGCAGACTGCAACCTGGGCTTGTCCGACGTTTGCAAGGCCGGCGGTCGAATGACAAAGTGCCGGCACCGAGAGACTGAGCCAACGTCGACAGCCAACGGCTTATACTCTGAAGATGGCGGATGTTGGTCGAACGGCGAAGCTCAGAGAAAAAGGGGACCAGAACACTAAGGTTTAAGTTGTCAAGGTTGTCAACGCTTCTATCGAGGTCCCTCAACACTGGCACGTACCCGATCTTAGGGTCTGGGGGTAATGCCCAGCTGAGATGACAATCGAACACAAAAACGGCGTCAAGATGGCAAGGGTTGCTGTAACTCAAGGCCGAACGAGCTCTCGACGAAGGGGTAGCAGATATCCCTGGGCGGGATGAGCCCTTCTTTTAACTGTATCTAACTCATCTCCAGTCAAGGGTGGGCAACTGCGAAACTCGGAAGAGTCGGTGTACGCAAGCCCATTGTGCCCATGAAGACTCGTCCGAGGTAATGTCCCAGTGGGCAGTTCGTCACTTGGAAAATCGCATGATCCAGCGGGATGGGCTTTTCCAGGACCCGCGTTGACCAGTTTTTGACGTTGGACTTTTGGCTCAAATTAGGTGGAAAGGCCAGGGAGCCCACTGGCGCAACAATCCATTGGCGAATCAGAAGCAGCCGACTCGTATTCGGTTTCCTGTCAAGTCATCTACTAATGTCCCGCCGCTGTGGTTGGGGCGGTGGTCTGATTTGATGATACTTGCGCCTCAAGATCTGGATGCTTTGGCAGGTTGGTTAGTGCCATCTCTATGCGTGTGCCATCTGTTTGTTTCACATGCAAAGACAGCCAACCAGTGCAGCATACCTAGAAGCTACTGAGGGTCCATTCCTTGGTGCATGTGAGGTAGTAGTGGCGAAACCCAGCCTATCAATCTGAATGCCGTTGTAGGGTAATTCTGCATCATCGACATTGCCAATTAGTGATTTCGGGGCCCAGCTAGCCTGGTGTAATTTTGTGTCATCGGCAGCAGGGTCTCCCGAAATATGTAGATCCATCCATCATATTCTAAGCAGGATCAAGCGGGCATGCCTGACAATTGCGAAAGCGCTGGCAGGCGTGATGAAAGCGATACCAGTGTTGATAAAGGAATTGACGACGCGCTCGGGGCAGATCGTTGGTGCCGCTTTCTCGGGATCCGAACAGAGCGCAAGACTGCGAAGGTTTCCTTTGGGTGTGTTGCAGTACAGAAGAATTTTCGATGATGCGATAAGCTCTCAAAACTGGTCTAGTAGACATTGGATGTTGGCACGGGGAACAGCTTGTTGTAAGGTCACTCTTACGCGGGTTCCGATCATCGCACCCTTGCTGCGAATGGTACACTACGGTCACGAAGAGTGTCTCGAACGTCTGCAAAATGACGGTTGAACGGTACACCGAAGCGTGTCTGTCGAAGGTGGGCCATTGAGCACCGGCGCTTCGGCGGAGTGACTGGGGTCGTACTCTATGTCTATCCTGTCGAGAGTCAGCTCGATGAGCCTCCAACTGGAAGTATATCAGCAGTGCTTTCCTCTCAGCCTTGATACAGTGAAGCGTCGAGGGAAGAATTAACATTTCGTCGATCTCTATATCCTGATGAGCGAACGGAACGCCTGGCGTATAATTGTTAGACCGCTTATGCTGTGGTAAATGGAAATACGCCAACAGGAGAAGATTCAGGACGGCCAGCGGTACTACAGGCCCGTCTGGAAGGTTCATCGCTCGGTGAACCGTCTTGACCGAGTCTCACCGCGGACCCATCAGGGCTGCTTACCTCAGCCAGGTACCTTCTCCGCTCAATCGGCTTGGGCTTTCTAATTCTACCCGAACTCACCTTACCCTTCCGATATTCAAACCCCAACGCTAAGGCACCCAGAACCGCCGCCTTGTTTGTCCCGGGACCGCCAGCTGATGTTGGGGGGCACCTCATTATGCGGCCATCGCCAACCGCGCTTCGCACCCCTCCTTGTTGACCCTCTTGCCTCAGCCACTCTCCTGAGCGGTCTGGATCTTCACTCCGAAAGAGGGTGCACACCCGCCGACAGCTAATGGACCTGTCCGGAACACATTGTAGTCGTGGCATGTCAACCGGGGATTTAAAAGATTGATGCAGATTAACGAAATAGGGTGACTGGTTCCAACCATGCCAAAGTAGCCAGGAACTTAAGGCAGCCTGTTGTGCCTGCTTCGCTTGGTCTGCCGATTGATATGGTAGTCAAGAAGACACAGTATTGAGTTGCTCGAAAACAAATCCCCCTCCCTCCAGCTCATCGAGATCCACCGTGTGTTTTCTGTCTGTTGATAACTTTCAGACACGGCGACATAATAAGAGGCGTCTTCATCTGCAGACCCAAGCCGCTGTTGTCAGCTTCCGCAGCTTTGTGGTGTGGCCTGATATGGTCGCTGACAATGTCTACGGATAGTGTGTTGCACTTTGATCAATCTGGTCATATTCCTGTCGATAGGGTGGTTTTGCGCGCGTACTAGCAATAAGCAGAATATGTACAAGAGAGGAAGAAGGAATGAAATCGAAGCGAAAAAAGAAATCATCGTCAAGAGAGGGTGTGGAATGGGGCAAGACCTGTGCTACCACCACAGCTCCAACAAAGTCCCCCAGAGTTTTGTGTGTGGACTGCACAGTAGTGTGCGCTCATGAATGCCTGGTACCACCGTAATCGCGCTAATAATGGCATTGCATGGCGCATGCATGCGACAACGGGAATGCCTCCATGACATTGTGTTGGCGATGCCGAGACGCGGGGGGGGGGGGGGGGTCGCTGAAGGTCCTGCCAATTGTACGTGGGTCTATACCGATGGAATAAGTCTTTGCCTTTTCTCATCTTCGGCATCCTCTTCCTCTCGTATGTACATGTCAGGAGAAGTTAGAACCTGACGACATCTAAAGGCTAGCGAGCCCGACGGGTATGGAACGTTTCGGCAGCTTCCATGGATGGTAAAGAGTAGGATGGCACGATAGGATGGGCCACAGCACAGGCCAAGGGCCATGATCCTTGGTGTGTGTGACACGGCGGGTGGATGGACGAAGAACGCAACATGCTTGGTCGCCCTCCCAACCTTATTGCCTGCGGGGGGCTTCATCACTCATTATTTCCGCGCCGCGCCCCAACTATGAGATGAGAGGAAAGTGTGCTCTCCGGGCGGTTTATGTTGGTCAAGGTATCTTCGATGAGCGGCTACAACTACCCATACGGTGTGGCTACGAGCTGAGATCACCTAGGTGAGATGTCGTCTTCTCACCTTGGCCCACCCAAGAATTGTCATATCCCGAAGCGGCAATTAATGTTTACTCTGACAGGAACCTATCTGTATTCTGGTGCGGGTTTACCACCTTTTACCACTCGTATATACGAAAACTGCGTTACCATCTACATTACTGTACAGATAACCCTCCTCAAGGAAGTTAGGAAGGTATGTAGGAGAGAACAGGGAGGCTTCAAGCACACGCGCAGGCGCTAGGCCGTTAATAAGTTAGCAAGGTTGACGCAGGTTCTCCCGGTTCTCAGACGTCGTCAAACTCTCCCTCGTTTCCATCTTTGCTCTGCGGATACCAGACCAGACGATCCACCACGGACACAACCCTCTCACTCACAGTCATCACACCCACACGCCTCTCGTCCTGTATACTACTCCGTGCTATACTGTACGCAAGTAAGTACGGCACGGATACTTCCATTTCGTGCCTCGACCCCCCTTTCACTCAGGTTCCCTCCTCTGTCTCTCCTGTTTCTCTCTCTCTCTCTGTTACCTAGTTATTTTCCTCTCACGCACACACCCCTTTCGCTAAACCCTTGCCGTGCCTCGCTCCTCAGCAGCCGCCCTCAAAGCTAAGAAACCCGTCACGTCTTCCAATGGAACATTCTGCATCTGCACCCGCACCCGCAACCACAACCCATGGCCCACCCATCCACAGTTCACAGCTTCACCCCCTCAAACCCTGTACCACGCACGCGTTATCCACACCTCTTCCACCCCTCCCCCCGTGCGGCTTGCCCTGGCCCAGTGGGTGCTTGGATGCTTGTGCTCTGGTGCTTTGGTGGGTGCCTCACTGCCATGCCAGTTGTGGGTGCCACCTCGTCGGCCGCATCTCCGTGTTGCGCATCTCCATGCGGCAGCGCTGCATCTCACGATAACTCCCCAAACTGCCTTCTTCTGCAATACCCAACCCTACCGTCACACCTTAGCCACCTGCTTGCCTGCCCGCACTTTTACCCCCCCCCCCCCCCCCCCCCCCCCCCCCCCCTCCCCCCCCCCCCCCCCCCCCTCCCCCCCCTCCCCCCCCCCCCAACCCCCCCCCCCCCCCCCCCCCCTTCCCCCCCCCCTCCCCCCCCCCCCTTTTTCCCCCCCCCCCCCCCCCAAATCCACTCTGTTACTTCTGATGATCCTCCTAGAGTTGGCCTTCCTTCTGGCGGCTACCGCCCATAATAATTATATGCAGGCGAACCCCCATTTCCGCACAACATCTTTTGTCTCGATGTCACATTAATTCAAGAGCGTGCCGGTAACAAATACACTCGCTGTAGTACGTGGCTATGAATGGACGTGTTTTTTGTTGGTTGCCGCCAGGGTTGTGACATCCGTCCGCAGCGGCGTACGTGCGAATAAACAGCACTTGCAGTCCGAAGGTTTTGGGGCCGCGAGCTTGCACGGAGCTCTGCCGATGTTTGGGAAAACGGTCGAGCGGGTTCTCCTTGCCGGACAGAATCTGCTTCGTACTCCTGTCACGATCCAAAATGCTTCTTCACTTGTGGAACAGAGTAAAGTTCCCGATGCCCATGCTAGAAAGCGACGCTTCGGATTCTGGAATCAACCAGCTAGATATATCAAGCCTGTCGACTGTGGTGTTTAGTAAACATTGCGATATATTCACGTCCAGGACTACCATGATGATATCGTTCGTCCCGCTCAATCACACGGGGCTTGACTTCTTGTCAGACCACCGCAGTTGACTCTGGCGATGCTGTGGACTCTTAGCTGTAGTAGAAATCAGGCTTCATCGGTAACGTAGGCAATCGCGTGGTACGCCAGGTAGATAAGCAAGAAATTCACAAAGCGCGAAATTGACCGAATGTACCTTACTGAGTAGCAGGTCTTCCACGGATATAACATCAGTGTAAGCATCTGCGAGCCAATGGACACAGAGGCAGGAAATGCCACACCAAGATTTTGAAATGAACCAACTCGGGGATTTATATCAAGTTGTTGCTTACCTACCAGGTTGGGCGATGCAGGTAACCAGTCAAGAAGGCGGGAGCAACATCGAGGCTGGTGAGAACGGGACCTGAAGGTTTGCGAGACTGAGGTACCTAGGTACGCACGAGGTACGGAGTGCGGGCTGCACCTATACCCCATCGCCCCACTAGTAACACGCCCCCGCTCCGAGAGCTAGCGTCAACACTAAGGTCCCCCTGCCCTACTGAACCGATTCAGTCGCCGCCGCCTACAAGTAGGTACCCACGTACCAAGTCCCAAGCCTGGGCAGATTGAAACCACCCACACCCGCTGGGAGCAGGCGCCACATGGAAAGGGACCCACCTTTGGAGCCAGCTCGCCAGAAAATAAAAAGATACACTACAAAGGAATAGAAACGCACAGACCTGGACTCCATCTCTGTAGCGATGTCCCGGTCGATACCTGACGCTACATGACTGTCGCCCGTAATGCCTGCTCCATACCCGTCAACGCTCGCTTGCGGTCCCCTAGTGCCGTACCGCTGTATCTTGAGCATGTATCGCAACTGACCCAGCTACCTCCCGGTCGTCTACCTTAGCTTGGCGTGCACCTGGATCCAGGGGGGGCGGCACAGAGCAGTTCACCTCTGATGGGGTACCCACCTTTGGATCAAATCCCCAGGCGGCTCCCATCCGTCTTCTTTTTTCGCCTGTGCACCTTACACCTTGCGCCGTCTCCTCTCGTTCCACTCGCCAGCCTCTTCTGGACGGGTCTCTTTCTCTCCTTCCACCTGCCTTGCCTAACCCGAACTTTTCTTCCCCTTCCTCTCTTTTCCCCCATCTCCGCCGTGACAGACTCGACACGCGCGCCGCGCACATAACATCATCAATCGCGAGCACAACGCCTTCCCATCTCATCATCTCCTTACGCCAACCGAAATCCATCCGCGTCGCGCAGCACCCATCTGCGTTTTCCTGACTGGACGGCTCTGCCGCTGTCAACGCAACCACCCTAGACCTTACCTAAGGCAAATCGCGCCTTGTGCCTCAGTGCATCCAGCCGATTGAAGGGGGGCCCATAGCCGCAACAGCTAAATTTTCCGAGCCACGACAACCTCAAGACCAAACCCGACGCATCTTTTCCATCATCGACACTCGATTTTCAGCTTCCCACGGTTATATTTCCCCTGATAAACACCGTCACTTCATCTCTCTCAACACCACGTACCCCACCGGCGCGAATTGTTTGGTTCCGACCTTGAATACTCTTGTCGACTCCAACCGCAACCATGTCCATGTACCCGCATCGCGCCATGGGCGCGGTGCCCCCCAATAACTCGGCCCGGCTCAATGAGCTCCTCGACCAAATCAGATCCGAGTTCGACACCCAGATGCGCCAGACGGAGGGCTACGAACACCAGAGTAAGACAGTTGCGGTTGACACCTATCGTCAGTCACGCTAACGAAATCTCCAGTCCAGGCTCAAGTTCAGGAGATGCAGCTTGTTAGAGAAAAGGTGTACGCCATGGAGCAAGCGCAGATGAACCTCAAGCAAAAGTATGTCGATGTCAATGATTGCGAGCCGAGTCCCTTCACAAGAAGCTAACAGCGAGCTTTTGAACAGGTATGAAGAGGAAATTGCCATGCTCCGCCGCCAGCTTGAGGGAGCTCGTGGAAACGCGCCCCCAAGCATCGGCGGTCCTCCTCCTCACGCGGGCCCGTCGCAACAGCCCCCTTCCATCACCCCCGGCACCGGTCTCTTCAACGGTATCATGACCGGTGGTGGCCAGGGCCAGCTGGCCCCTCCTCCGCCCCCTCCTCCCCCTCAGGACCAGCAAATGGGCCCGCAGCATCAGATGGCCCAGGGACCTCCGGGTCTGCCTGTCCCGCCTCCGCCGCCGCCTCAGTCGCAGCAGCCTTTCCAGCAATACCCCCCGGGTCCCGGTGGGCCCGTATCTAATGGGCTCGGCTCCCAGCCCCCCCAGACCACCGCATCACCGGGTCCGGGCAGACGTGGAATTGGAAGACCACCTGCAGCTGTCGGTCCGGCTACACCCCAGATCAACACTCCCATTCCTTTCCCGGGCGCCACCCAGTCGCCTCAAGTCAGCCATCCTACTCCCGACCACGCGCGGATGGGGGGCCCCCACGCTCCGCCGGTGGGAAACGCCCTTGGCGATCTTGACCCTGATCGCCTGCCGCCTCACTCAAAGAAATCGGGTCACGACTGGTTCGTCATCTTTAACCAACACGTGCCTCGCATGTTGGATGTCGATCTTGTCCACACTCTCGCACACGAGAGTGTAGTCTGCTGCGTGCGCTTCAGCCACGACGGCAAGTACGTAGCCACCGGCTGCAACC